TTTTTTTTTTTTTTTTTTTGAGAATTTAGTCTTTTGTGTACATATGAAATTCAACCTATATTCGCTAAGACATCAAATCATTTGAAGTCTGTTCTCATTCATATGATTTCTTCAGGACAAACTACCTATACGAACATAAAAACCAATTATTTTTTTCTTTAAAGTAAGTTCTTGTCATTTTTTCGTCTTCTCTCCTTTTCTTTTCTTTCCTTTTTGCCTTCTCTTTTTCTAAAATTGTGGGAGAGAGGAGGTTAACCCTAGAATAAAATTTTAAGAGAATCTTTGACCATAAATGTACTAAAGTTGAAGCTCTTTGCCCAACACACGAGCTTTTGGGAAGAGGGTGCCAATGGGAAGGATGTAAATAATCTATCACTTGTTACTTGTTGGGTCTTTACGCATACGGTGTGCTTTAGTATTTATTTCGTACAATTTACAAAATCACAGATTACTTTGTTTTCCTTGACAATTATGCATTTGATCCCACTACACATGCCTGAGATGTGACACATACAAGCATTTTGTGTTGTTGAAATTCGTGATTACTTATTGTTGTAGTATAACTATATTTAATTTTGCTAATCATTATAGATAGAAGAGGACCGGTACCAGATTTCTGAAAAATCTGCCAGCCTGTACAATAGTGTTTCAGATGCACATGAAAAGGGCAAGGAGTTGGACAAGTTACTAAAAGATCTGACTAAAGAAGCTCAGATTTTAAGCAGAGAGAAGGAAGCAGTACAGAAACAAAGAACCGAAGCTATTAAGAAGCGTGCAAAGCTTGAGCTTGATGACAAAGAATTGCACGATAAGATTAAAGCAAATATCAAAGCTAAGGTGCTGTTGACCTGCATCAAACTTTAAGTTTCAGAGGCTGTACGCACGAATGGTTTGTTAAATTATTAATGAAACATGTTGCTTATATATGGGCTCCTAATCCAGGATGATGCTGTGATGCAACTCGAGCTTCTGGATCAAGAAATTCAGCAATCAAATAATGAACTCACTAGAATTAAGCAGCTATATGATAAGCAGGTTGGGGAGGAAGAAAATTTGACACGAGAGTACGTTTCTTTTTAATGCTTTCAGGCTTGTAGTCTTTGCTTTTCTGACAAGAAAGTCTTGGTACTCTCTTCCATTTAATTTATCGCGACATTTGTCCAGTAGTTATTTTGATTGTTGAATTGATGCTACTTAGCAGGAATGTTTAAATAGTAATATTTCTGAATGCGTGTAGGATAATGGATCGTGAAAAGCAGCTCAGCATTCTGTATCAGAAACAGGGCCGTGCTACTCAGTTTGCTAATAAAGCGGCTCGTGACCAGTGGCTTAAAAAAGAAATCAGGGACTACGAGCAAGTTTTGTCCTCAAACCTTGCACAGGTAAATCTCCTTGGTATTATGCTGCATCTATGTCACTATAATTTAATGGAGAGAAGCTGCTGGAAACATGGTATTAGATATAAGGACAAATTCTATGTTGCTGTTGTTAGAGTAATTGTTTGCATAATCTCTGGTTTTGTTAAAATAGAGTGGCTCATTTACCTTTTTCCTGGTTCAAATGTATTTATAATCCGTCTTTTGCTGTTTCAGGAGGCAAAACTCAGGGATGAAATTGAGCAGCTCAAGAGAGATATTTTAGAGAAGGATGACTATATAAAGGGACGGAAAGATGAAGCAGCCGAACTTGAATCTCGAATATCTGGCTACAGACAAGGATACAACGAGTATAAACTGGAGAGAGACAAACTGCATGATAAGCGAAAGTATGATTATTATTATTATTATTATTATTTATTTATTTATTTATTTATTTATTTTTTGTGTTCTTCATATGGATTTTAATCACTTTCACTGTTTTTTTAGGTCCCTGTGGGCCAGAGAAAGTGAGCTCACTGATGAAATTGGTAGGCTTAAATCAGATGTCGTCAAAGCTGAGAAAAGCCTGGATCATGCGACTCCCGGAGTGAGTGCTTTATGTCATAATGTTGCGCAGACTTTATATTTTATTGTATTATTGAAATTGCTGGATTTTCATTCGATCTTTATTTGAAAATTAACTAGGATAGGGGGTTGTTAATTAAATAATAATATGCTCGGCAGCGGGTTTTGGAAATGTTGGTTAATAGTATTAATTCCACCATCTGACAGAAAAGTGAGCAATGTACGAAAAATATAACAAGAAATTGTTGAGAGGTTGTACTTATGGGCCTGTAATTTACCATATTAAAGATTTGGAGCTTAACATGACACACTAAGGCTTTATACGAATCGCTTTCTATGAAGCCTAACGATGAAGCCACGTAGCAGGGGTTTATAGCATTTCGGTTCCAGTCTTGATATCAGTACCTTTTTTCCTCTCTACACTGCATGTCCTGTATCTATTGTCCTGATTTTGGTTGCATGACTTGGCATGTTCAGGATATAAGAAGAGGATTGAATTCTGTTAGGAGGATATGTGAACAGTATGGCATTGGGGGAGTACATGGTCCCGTTATTGAGTTGCTTGAGTGCGACACAAAGTTTTTCACAGCTGTTGAAGTTACTGCTGGAAGCAGGTGAAGACACTCAAATTAGTTCGATGGGTGTCCAATGAAAATGAAATTCCCATGCTCTGTTCTTCATTCCTCTTATTTTCGCTCCTATATCTCTGAACAGGAAGAAGAGTACTGACGACATGTTTTATTGCGTACTATTTCGACTCTTACTATTTTTGGTGTCACTACTGATATATTTCTGTCTACAGTTTATTCCATGTGGTGGTTGAAAATGATGATATATCAACTAAAATCATTGGGCATCTCAACGCCCAAAAAGGTGGGCGGGTGACATTTGTACCATTGAACAGGGTGCAAGCTCCACAAGTTACATATCCACGGAGCTCTGATGTTGTTCCACTTCTAAAGAAATTAAATTTTCTGGAGAAATATTCTTCGGCATTCGGTCAGGTCGGCACTTTGTTGTTATTTGCATGCAACCTGCTCCTGCAGGATCTCACAGTTAAAATTGGACTTAGTTGCATTCTTTGTCTGAGCTAGCAACTGTTTTTTTAAGTGATATTGCCACTGCTTGTGCTTACTATTTATGGAAGTATTCTTGGCTACTGTTGTCATTTATGCACAATTGATATGCAGATAGATTTAAGCTCTCGCAGCATTTTTTTCTTCCTCCCTCAACTCCTTATTTGTCTTGCATCTTAAATAAACTTATCCTTTACCATTAGCTTTTCAATGCAAATACGACGAACAATACCATGTCGAAATTGATAATTGATTAATTCCTGACTCAGATGAGCGGGTAACAACATTGACATTTTTTTAACTTGCTAGTCACTTTTGCTAAGTATTAATAAGTGAAAAAGCTCATTCAGATAGCCAGAGTGATGTAATGAACGAGATAATATAAGGTACCGTGTTATGCAGTGCATTGTAATTTTGGCTGACTTATGCTTGATTGCACTCATATAGGGCTACATGTGTATAGGATTAGAACGAAAGTGGCTCCTGGAGTGTGTGCTTATTTTTTTATTTTGCTGATATACTGCACCTGCTAGTTGTTTGTTATATGTGGCTGAGGTCGTTTACGGATGATAATACCATTCTTTTGTGTTTGTTGGCAAACTTATAGGTGTTTGCGAAGACAGTAATTTGCCGGGATTTGGATGTAGCAACAAGGGTTGCCCGTGCTGACGGTTTGGACTGCATCACCTTGGAAGGTTGCGATTAACTTCATATAGTATTTTTCTTTTTTCTATTCTTGGCATTTAGCACTTGGTTGCCATTACAGTTTCACCCCTTGCACTACAGGTGATCAAGTTAACAAAAAAGGTGGCATGACGGGGGGTTTTTACGACCCTAACCGTTCAAAACTGAAATTCATGAACACCATTAGACAGAATATGAAGTCTATTAGGATGAAGGAAGAGGAGCTAAATAAAGTCAGGGATGAACTTCAAAATATCCTATTTACGTCTTTTTTTCTTCCCTCGTGTTCGCTTCATGGTTGCTGCAATACTCCTACCCCTAGTTATGTATTTGCTTCATATGGCTTTTTAATTGTGAATGGTAGAAAAGAACAGATGTCAGTCGAGGTCATGGTCTACCTTTCAGTTACCATTCACTTAATTCCATTTTTGTCATTATAATATTATCATTCAATGCATGCATATGTGTCTGTGGAACTTTTTGTATGTTGTCGTCACTATTTTTCACTTTAAAGAATCAAGAACTTGCTGTCCTACATGTCGATATTTTACCAGTGCTGGTTTTGTTTGGAGATATTTTGCCTAGTTTTGTCCAGAAAGGAGATATTTTGCCTAGTTTTGTCCAGAAATCTGAGCATTTTGATCAATGCCCTCACATCAGCAGAATGTATATTTGTGCATGTTAAATCATGGTTCCTCCATTTCCCTTATGATTCTTGCATGAACAGTATGCTCTACTAGACATGTTTTGTTTTTTCCCCAAATTGTGGCATTTGTTTTCGCTGAATTTTCCCCACAGACTGACCAGAAAATAAACGAGATAGTGGCAGAGCAGCAGAAGAATGACGCCAAGTTGGCTCATGAAAAATCTATAATTGAGCAGCTGAGGCAGGACGTAATGAACTCTGAGAAGCAAAAACATTCCATTTCAAAGTCCCTTGCGAAGAAAGTGTGTTAACCTTCCGAAAAGATTTCATTAAGTTCTTATTATTTTCTTTTTTTATTAATTTTCATTGCATTTCTCATATTTTTGCAGGAGAAGTTGCTCTCAAGCGTATTGACTCAAATAGATCAGAATAAAGCTAATATTTCTATGAAACAAGCTGAAATGGGAACAGAACTTGTTGATCACTTGACACCGGAAGAGAAGGAGTCTCTATCTCGGTTGAATCCCGAAATCACCAGTCTGAAGGAGCAGCTAATTACTTGTAGGAGTAACCGCATGGAGGTAGGAAGTTAATTTAGGCTCATCTAGTCACTGTCTATTGATTGCTTTTGTCTAGTGGACATCATATGATACTGCCAATTTTCAGACGGAAACAAGAAAATCAGAGCTTGAGATGAATCTGTCTACAAATCTGGTTAGGCGGAAAGAAGAGTTGGAGTCAGTCAAGCTATCTACAGAGACTGATTTGTTACAAGGGGAAGCTGAGTTGAAAAGACAGGAATTGATGGATGCCAGTTCATTAGTTGATCAATTGACACAAGAGCTCAAGAGTGAGAATTTGTAGTCTTTATGCTCATCTTCTACTTAAGTTCAATTTTTTGGTTCATCTGGGATATTTATGTCTTCTACAGGAGTAACTGAAAGTATAAATGAGAGGAGTAGAAAATCAGAAGCGATCAAAGTTGAAAAGGATAAACTGAAGGTTTTCTTAGAGTACTCCTGTATTGGATTTAGTTTCTGGTGTTTGGTTGCTCTTTTCTGCATTAAGGGATTTCCCTCTTTATTTTTTTTTCAGCGTGTGGTTGGGTTTTATTATGTCATAAGTTTTTATATTGGATCTGAGAGTGCATGTTGATGTAGAGTAAAGAAGATGAGCACAAAGCTACTGTACAAGATGTAGCGAAAGAGTTGGAGCTACTACTGAGTAAGAAGAATATGTATCTGGCGAAGCAAGAAGAATGCACGAAGAAAATTCGAGATTTGGGTCCCTTATCTTCTGATGCTTTTGAAACGTAATCTTCATATATCATAAAAATTCTACTTTTCATCCATCTGTGAATTTATGTATGCATTCACTTATCTTTTCCGAAAAAATGATTTGATAAAATTCTCCACTTAACTTCTGTGTAGAAGATTCCTTAAGGTTTTTGTAGAAAAGCCAAGACATCTAGTATAAATGGATATAGTTACATTATATTATTTTAAAAATAGAGAGTAGGACAAAAGATTTTGGGGAAAAGATGAAATTTCTGAAATGTGAATGGATGTAATGTAAAAATGTAATGATTAAAGTTGTTTTCATGTAAAACTAGTAAAATGATGATTAATATTTAGGAATATGTGAGTGTATGAATAGTAAATTTGGTAGAAAAATGTGTAGCAATGATTGTTTTATAGGATAGTAAATTTGGTAGAGAAATGTATAGCAATGATTGGTTTATATTTCAAAAATTGTGTTGATAAAATTTTGATAAGTAAATAACGCAGCTTTTGAATGCAGTCACAACTTTAAGAAAAACTGTTTCCTCTAGTGGGAAAAAATGAATTTTTCTTATATCCATCCATCCTCGTAATACCTTGACTTTATCTCTCAGTGATGACAAGGTGCCTTTTGTACAAAACAAAAGTCTAAATTCCAAATTTGAATTCTTAGCATTTTGTTTGTGGTGGTTTTCTGTTTTCTTCATTCTCTGCGTTTTTCTTGTGTGTTAATCATTTCTCTCGTCTGTCTGTTTCTTTCTCGTACTTGCTTTCCTTGTTTTATGTGGACATTGTAAGATGTATTATACTCTTATGGAGAGCCAGCATCGGCGGAGCATATTTTCGGTATACTGAGCTTTACTTTGCGACACTAGCTTTACTCGTGGGCACACACCTGGAACCTTTTTCTACTCCGAGGATACATAGAAATATCAAAATGCCAAATGTGCTTTTGAGTTTTGACACTTCTAGGGCACTGCAAATCTTGTTGGTTCTCGAGTTGATGTAAATATTTTATGGGTACATTTCATGGATATGAAAGATGTGTCTTTGTGTATGAAGTAGATCCCCAATATTGAAAATCCTTATTTCTTATCCATTTTCATTTAGTCTCTTTTATACAGTAATGAAACAAAGACAAGGATCATTTGTTCTGTTCTAACAATTTTCATTGCATAAAATCTACAGTATTGATTATGAGTTCATATTTTACATCTTAAGTATTAAGAGATAATATGTATACGCAGAACCTATATAACAAGCTAATCAGGTCTCTCTTCTTTTTGGTAGTAAACATGTCTTTAACCTGTGTCTCTATTAAGTCTTTTTGCAGAAAAGGAGGAATAGGGATGTATTGCTTTTGCATAATTTGCTGTACATCTGTTTAACGACTGAATGCGCTTTTGATATGCTTATAGACTTTCCAGAATAATTATGATGACCCAGCTTTTAGTAACCAATGAATTGCTGCTCTATTATTCTCTCCTGTTGCGGTGGGTTTATGCAATGATATTTGCGTAATGTTCTTGTTTTACAACTGCCACCTACCTTAAGAACAAATTTCAAGTTGTAAATGTTACCCGCGCTCCGAGCTCTACCTGATGACTTGTGCCTGTTAAGACATGGATACATCAAGGCCGAAGCATTGATGATATGCACACGGCCAATAAACTCTGGCATTCTAAATCCAATAATCCATACAAGGAACCTATTAGATGTCAGATGGAACTAATTAGATTCATTCTCTATGTAATCACACTGTCCACACACGTTCCTTGTTCGCAGGACTTAAACCATAAAGTCTATAAATGACCACTTTGACAATTACTCTTTGAAGAGGGAACTTGGATAAGTTGGGTCTCATGATATGCTAGTTCTAAACATTTTTATTTCTTAAAATAGTTCATCTCTGATGTTTATTTCAAGTGTTTTATTGTGGATGGTTTCCCTAATTTACTCTTCTGCAAATCAAATCCAGGTATAAGCGGAAGAGCATAAAAGAATTGAACAAACTGCTTCACAAGTGTAATGAACAACTGCAACAGTTCAGTCATGTGAACAAAAAGGCACTTGATCAATATGTAAATTTCACTGAGCAAAGAGAAGAGTTACAGAGAAGGCAAGCTGAGTTGGATGCTGGTGATGATGTAAAGTTATTCATCTTCATTGTGATATTTTCTTTTGTATTTAGGATGGTGATTTGTCTTCTTAATTCCTACTGTTGCGTGTAGAAAATCAAAGAACTTATATCAGTTTTGGATATGAGGAAGGATGAATCCATTGAACGTACATTTAAAGGTGTGGCGAAGCATTTTCGAGAAGTATTTTCTGAACTTGTGCAAGGAGGTCATGGATATTTGGTTATGATGAAAAAGAAGGTTTGTTATATTGCTCTCATATATTAATATAGTGACAAACTGTATTATATAGTTTAGCCTTTTCCATTTTCTGGGTTTATATAATATGTATGTTACCTTTTTGGTTTACTTTACCTTGATTCTATCACTCACATGTTATGAGTTCTTTCTAGTTTGGGGGTTGGGGGTGGGTGGTTATTTGGGTTGGGCCAACCAGAAGATCTATTCTATATATTACTCCCTTCCTTCAAAGTTGGTTTAATTCATACAAGTGCTATCTTTTAAACAGTTATATTGTTGTTTTTCCACCACTTGTTTCAGGATAACGATGACGTTGATAATGATCTAGATGATGATGAGCCTCGTCCAGCAGAAACTGAGGGTCGGGTTGAGAAATACATTGGTGTGAAAGTGAAGGCATGTACACTCTTACCTTTTCTCGCCCCTATGTTGACCCATTTCTTCTGCTGCCTTGTGTTCTCTCCGTAATTTAGCATATGCATGACATTATATTTTTGGACGTGCTGCATCTTCGACTAATTTAGAGGGACATTCTGCGCTACATGCTGGGCACCGTACCTTGGGTATTATCTCACTATGGATTTATACTAGAACTCTCGATGGTTAAATGAGCTTAGGGATTTTCATTTTAGATGATTTGACGATACATTGCTACATGGTATAGTATCTTTAGGACTAAATGATTTCTCTATCATAGGATGCGTCTGGATACACGTCCAGCTTAAATTTTTTTATATAGTTGACACAACACTCACTTTCACTTTTCAATCCCACCATTTACTTGAATTTCATTTCATTTATATAATGTAAATCACTCATGAATTATAAATGTCCATTTTTTTGTTATTTTCTTTTAACCCACTCGTAGTTCTAACTACCTATAGAGCTATACAATCATTATTTACTATTTTATATAAAATCAACATTAATATTTTCATTTCATATTTATTCACACGCTCAATTATTTTTACCAATTCTTCACTATTTTTGCTCTGGAACATAGTTTCAAGCATGAGTATGTATTCAAATGCACCCTTAGCTCTTTACTCTGCATATTGAGCAAAAACTAGAAACTTGGGAAAAGCACCTTTGCATTTTAAGACGCTTTGTACCTTCTGAATTAGTGGTTACCGTAGTTGGTGTTAGTTCCTTATCTGATTTCATATTTCTCTTCTTTAACCCACCCTTTCTCTCCTTGTGGTAGGTTTCTTTCACCGGGCAAGGGGAGACGCAATCAATGAGACAACTGTCGGGAGGTCAGAAAACTGTGGTGGCTTTGACATTAATCTTCGCCATACAACGATGTGATCCCGCGCCATTTTATCTTTTCGATGAGATTGATGCTGCACTTGATCCCCAGTACCGAACTGCTGTCGGGAGTATCCTTTTGTTCTGGTGTAGTTTTAGTGTTTATTTTGTATTTGCTTAGCACATGCGTGAATGCTTCTTCACTGAAGGTATAATTAGAAATGCTAATCCTGATGTGTAGCCTAACATCAAAAATAATATTTTTCAATGTTCTCTAGTAAAGAATAACTAGAGATTTTCTGCATATGGTGTCCCCCAGTGGCTATGCTAACAAATTTTAAAATCACTGCTGTAAACTTTTTCCCCCTATTGTGGTGCCTATTGGGATTCCTTTAACTGTTTCTTGTAGACATGGTTCGTCGTTTAGCGGACATGGCTGGCACTCAGTTCATAACTACTACATTCAGGCCAGAGCTCGTGAAAGTTGCGGACAAGATCTATGGCGTGACCCACAAAAACAGAGTCAGCCGTGTTAATATTGTTTCCACCGAAGATGCATTAGGTTTTATTGAGCAAGATCAGACTCAAAATGAGGTAAAACATATTTCTATTGAAACTCGACTTTTCTGGTTGTCCAAGGTTGGAAGAATTTCACACACTCACACATGCAAAGGGAGAAAATGCGAGTATCTTTTAAAAGATAACGGCATTTTATTTGTTTTAAACTAAGCTGAACTTGTGATAGTGTCTCTTAGCTACCTTAATACAGTGAAATCCTTACAAATAGTTTCTTTCGATTATCCCGAAAAGAGAAAAAAAATGTAAGATATATACTACGTGATATGTTGGGAAGATATTTTTTTTTTATTCTGTATTTTTAACTAGGCGGAAATTAGGATGGTTGCTACTATCCTTGTTTTTTAGCCTCCTGTAAGTACGAATGACTAATTGTTGTATTTTATGAACTTGCAGTGAAATTCAAAGCTCTTGTAGACGACAATGGAAGATGATGAAGATTTCTGAATTACGAAATGTAATATGCCCACTGTTAATTTGGCTGCTTGCTGGGGGATGTTAGTATGATATTTGATAAACTAGCCCATCTACTGTAGTATCCGAGTTATGTAGGCAAAGAATGCAATGTAATTAAACTGTAGAAAGTGATATGAAAATGATTGCTTGGACTATTTTTCTTGTACTTTTTTTTT